AAAGAACTCTTATTCCTACTCCCATATCTTTGCCCAGGAGCCCCTTAATTTAAAAATTATAGTAATTCAGAGGGAAGAAGTTTATATTTTCCATTTCAAGAGAGGCTCCTCCCTTCCTTAGTAGATACCTGTCTTTTCAAACCAAGACAAAATTTATGTGTAAAGAACACAGAGAATATATAAAAGACAAGGCAAAAAAAAAAAATCAATTCAACATCAATATGAACTGATTTTGAAGCTAACAAAAGATACCCATTCAAGCCTCCTCCTCTGCCAACCTCTGAGATGTCTTACCAGTACCAGTCTATTTTATCACCTAATGCACAAGCCCATTCTCCTTGCAAGCATTTCTGTGGTTTTTGGAAAGCATCTACTGAATAGTGGTATCATCAATTTGTTCAAATTTTCTGACTCATTACTAATTGCACTTTGTTTTCTACAATTTAGGGAAGATGGTGAAAATCTTCCTAAAAACCTTCAAGGAACATTTCATTCGTCAGCACAGCTTAGAGATTTCATTTTTCTATGTGTCATCTTACTCCTTACAAGGTGCCTGTCTCTCACTATAATTAGTGGTATTTTAAAGCTTACGCATGTAATTCTAGTCTTTGCAGCTCCATTCACTTTGATGATGCGCTGCTGCTTCACATCCACTGAAGTTCTTGCCTGTGGCTGAGATTTTAGGTATACATTTTAAGAGAAAATTAAGAGAAATCTAGGTTAGTTTTATCCTTGGTTGCTGGCCCATGAAGCATTATAAATATTCTGCCTTGCCAGGAATGAAAAGACTCAACTAGTGCACTTCTGTGCATTCTGATATGGTACCAACAGCATCCATAAACAGAATTTCAAAAGGAAAACTAAAAATCTGAACCAAAAAACAAAAACCAAAAAAAAAAAACCAATTTAAAAAAATCAGCCTTGGCATCTGAAACAGATTTCCAACACCCTCTCCCAGCTCCCTGTACTTCCCTTGGGCTGTCTGAGAAATAACAGATGCAAATGGGTTACTTTTGAAAGCACAGCATTTCCTCCACAGCTGATGCAGTGTGAAAATCCATCTGAAGCCCAGCAGACATACCCATGAGCAAGTTGCCTCTGAGCTTTGCCAGAATGATCCATTTCACCATAGTGAACCATAAAGAGAAAACCAGACAAACACCTCCTGGCTGCATCACAGAGCAGAGAAGCCCTCATTTCTCCCCACTGCAGAATACCAATTAAATCATGTTTCAAGCCATCTATTCCTAGTGGGAGCTTAATGCAGTGCAAAGTTAGCTTATTTCTTCCCCTAAAAGCATTCTCTTCACACACCACAAGCAACCCCCATCAGGTGGAATGATTTCTCTCCTTTTCTTTGTTTCTGTGGCTGGCAAGTCAGAGCTGAAGGAAAATCAGTCTGCTGTCTGATGAGCTTTTGATAAAATTCCAGGCTGAAGCACTGCACTTCTTGATTTATTTAGCATTCAAACATCCCCAAGAGCTTCTTCAGTTTTGCACCCCTGCCTTTGGCAGTTTCAGAATGCAGCTTTCTCTGGAACAGCTCGAAGTTAAGAGAAGTCCTTGTGCCAGGTCCAAACATACCACTGGTAAAAGGATAGTGTGTCTTGAAATGACACTTTTGGGCTGCCTATCTGTACTCCTAGTGATTTGCATGATATGTTTATGTACTTAACTTGCCCAGATATATGCTGGGTTTTTCTCTGCTTGTTTTTCCTGTGGCGTTGCTCTCAGCACTTCCAGTTCAGGTTATAAAGAAGCTTTCTGTTTGTTTCATGTACCATCACTAAAAGCAAATAGCAAATAACAGCTCATTTCAGCCAGGCTAATACTGCTGCCAGACATTAAAGAACTGAGTAGACACAAGGAAATGAAATTAGCTTTCATGTGTTGCTCTCACAGAGCCTATAAAATTCAACTGCAGAAACTGGAAAATAATTATCCTAAAACTTCTTGTCTAGACTGAGCAACTATGGCATACAGGAGACATAAAGGAAAAATTTAGTGAGCTTCTCTTTGCCCAACCCACAGTTCAGTGGCTACATACCACTGGAACTAAAAAATGCTTTAGCTTCAGTGACATTTTGTTCACCCAGCAGATTTCCCCTGTAGTGCCCACAGCAGTGAAATGCCATCCTGTGCCATGCTGTGCCATCCTTCACTGCTCAGCAAAGACTCTGAGCAGTTCTTTATAGAGCTGATAAGGAAATTCAGCTGTCTAGGCATAGTGACTACAAAGAAACACAATTTGCTGTGGCCTCTTGGTTCGTGTATAATTGTTACAGTCCAGAGAGAGTGACAGAGAGGAGGGGGACAGGGTACCATGGTGCTGGTATTGGGCCCTAAGTCCAACAGCTGGGTCTGCATGAGGAATGCTAATCCAGAAGCAGAGTCTGAATTTGTGTTGCTGGAGCCCCTGCACACCCACATCTGCTACACAGTATGGCAAATGCAGTGGGGCTCCCATGCAAAATAATCACACCTGTCAAAATAAAGGCAGAAGTCCCTTTGCTCAGGCATTATCTCCTTGACTTTATGAGTAACTGGCTACTGTGCAGATCCCGGAAAGTACTGAATGTGGTTATTTACCATGAAAACGGGATCAACACCTTAGAGATATCTCACTGTTCTTTTTCCCTGGAAGACCTATAGCAGGCACAGGGCTGCAATGTTATGTTTTGATCCAATTTATTATTTCTTTCTAAGGCAGAATTAGGCAAACCTCATTGTTCTCTAAGTTCCACTATCACTTCCAATACCAATACACACATATAAGTATCTGATCTGGAAACACTGTACATTCCAGATTTCTGGAATATTCTGTCTTCAGGAGAACCAAATGGGGAGCATGTTATTGACCCTGATGTCCTGTCCCTGGAAGCAGCTGAGAAAGGAACCTTTCATAAAGCACTCATGTTGCCATTGCTGTGACTCAGGAAATAAAAGGGAGCTGAAGGTTCTGGGTGTTTTCACCATAGGGTTGTATCTAGAATCAATATGAAATACATAGGTACTCTTTACAGAAAATAAATCAACATAATTGTTTGCATCCACAAGACTGAGTTGTCCATATTTTTAGCATAGATATTGGTAAGCTGTATTCTTTTTCCTCCTTCTTTGTTGTTTTCCTTGCCTCTTTGCTGCTAAACCACATAGAATATCTACCAGGTTACTATTGGTTTTCTAACACCTTAAACATTAACAGAATGGATGGCTTCCTCTAAGATAGAACAATTCTTCCAAATGGGAAGAAAAACAATTTGCTTGGACATAATTTTGGCTTTTAATGTCATCTGTGTTAGCATTTCTGCTTTGCTTAAAAATGAGAGAAGACTTTTCCAGCTCTGCTTTGTAGAGTATCAAGCAGAGACTCTGAAGAAGAAGGTACAAGCACTAAACCTCAGCAAGATTTATGGTACTTCCTATCTGACTTTCTCTCAGTCTCCAAAAGATTCTGCTTAGCATGAAAGCCTCCATTTTTATTGCCCCTTCCAAAACGTGGTGAATTCTGTCTGTAATATCAGGGGATTCAGCAAAGCCAAGTGCAAAGTCCTTGATGTGGGTCAAGGTAATCCCAAGCTCAAATACAACTGAACAGAGCATGGATTGAGATCAGCCCTGCCAAGGACTTGGGGGTGCTGGTGGTTGAGAGCTGGACCAGAGCTAGCTGTGTACACCTGCACCCCTGAAACCAACCATGTCCTGGGCTGCATCCACAGAAAAATGATCCTCAGGTTGGGAAAGGAATTCTGCCCCTCTGCTCTCATGACCCCACCCTGGAGTACTCTGTCCCCAGTATAGGAAGGACATGGACCTGCTGGAACAAGTTCAGAGGAGGGCCATGAAGATGCTCAGAGGGCTGGAGCACCTCTGCTACAAAGATAGAGAGATCTGACATTGTTCTGCCTGGAGTAGAGAAGGCTCTGGGGATTCTTAGGATCCAGTTCCTAAAGGGGCTCCAAGAGAGCTGCCAAGGGACTTCAGACAAGGGCCTGGAGTCACAGGATAAGGGGGAATGGCTTCAAATTGCCAGAGGGCAGAGTTTGATGGGACATTGGGAAGAAATTCTTGACTGTAAGGGTGGTGAGGCGCTGGCACAGATTGCCCAGAAAAGTGGTTGATGCCCCATCCTTGCAACTGCTCAAGGCCACATGGAAGTGGGCTAGAATTAGATGATCTTTAGAGTCACCTCCAACCCAAAACATTCTGAGAGCCTCTGATTTCATCACCCTACACACAGGTTCAGTCTTTAGCTGAAAGCAAAGCTTATGAAAATGTGCCTCACTGCACAACTGCAAGGTATGAAATTACCTCTTTTTTCAGGGCTTAATCACATCAAGACATCACTGAATTCTTGTTCTTTCTGTGAGAACAGAAATTGCTGATCCGCCTTACAACACATTCTTATGTTTACACTTATATACATCCTCCAGTTTATACAGTTTAAACCCTGTTCCTGCTTATTTGAACCCAGGAGCAAGAAAACCCGTTAAGTGTAGTATCTGGCCCCTTCCCCCATCTTTACTCTGGGAGGCATTTACCAGGTTGGAGGCTGCAACCCTAATTAACTTCACCCAACACAATGCATACCATATAAAAGGCACAGGAAAAGGCAATGTGCTCTGTAATCCTGCTAACATATACATGGATTGATTTTCAACTGGTTTGATTTAAACAAACCTCTTTCTTGTTTGTACTGATAAAAACTAAGTAAGCAGCAACTGATGACTCAGGCAGAAACGTATCTATGGCATGGAGTGCAAAGTCCTGTTTGAAATTTTTTAATGGATCTCAGGCACTGTTAGTTTTCATGTGGCAAGATAGTTTCTGAAGATTGTCCTCTTCTTTGCCATTTAACATCACTTAAACAAACAAGGGATTTGGAGAACAAAAGTAGCTGTACAAGGCAACTCAAAATGTCTCCTATCCCATGCCTATCACAAAGGTGCACACAAAAGAGTAAATAACATATGAGTGAACATTAAGAGTGGAATCCTTACCTGCCCTCCTTTAGGCTGGTATTTGATATTATCTGTTGACCCAATTTTTGACCTGACATTCTTGAGGTCAGGTAGAGGCTGATTAATAACTCGTAGCTGCTTTGGAGTGGCTGGAGATTTAGGAGGAGTGCGAATTATGGCAACTTTCTTCTCAGTAGGTACCAGAATTGCAGATTTGGGGGTCCCAGGAGTGTGGGGAGTTCTGGAGTAACTGGGTGTCCCTGGAGTGCCTGGGGTACGGGAGGCATAGCTTGGTGGTGTCCCTGGAGTGATGGCAGTGGAGCCAGGAGTAGTGGGGGTAGAAGTCCCACTTTTTCCCGTTCTGCTACGAATTGGCTCTGATCCTACATTCAAGAAAAAAAACAAACAGCTTTAGAGCCACAGGGGTACAGCTCTTCTTCCCTTTGTACTCCCAAAACTGCATCCCTGCGTGCCAGGCGAGACACAGCTCTTAAGATGGCAGTGCTACTGCTGGAACAGCAGCTTGAATGGGCCTCTGTGTGTCTTACTTGGCTAATCAACCTGCCAGGAATTACCTTGCCACGAGAGGTTGAGGTAATGCCCCCAGAGTGACTGAGCTCTCCATTCTGTAACACAGGAGTGCTTCCCTCAATAGCTCTGATTTCTGCAAAGCTGCCCAAACAAGGCACATCGTCACATTTATTTCCATTTTGGGCAAAGGACAAGAAGCATCCTTGGAATCCAACCTTTGGGACTTGATGCAGCCAATTTCAATGGATCTGGACAATAAACTAGAAAGCAGTAAAAATTCTGATGATATTCCTGAAATGAAAAGCTGAGTGAGTGCCTGGCTGGTGCTGTTTCTCATAGCATTGCTGGAAAAGTGCAGATGAACCCCAGGTGGGCACTCAAATGGAGCACAAGCTATAGCTCTGCTGTGTGGATGGGTAGATGTCCTCACATCCAATTGCTATTTTTCATTAGTGCTGTGAAAGAAAACCATTACCAGAGGCAACTTTGATAAAAAGTCACATTTTACTTACTTTTGCATGCAAATAAAAAAACGCCAATTATATCATTTTGTAGCAGCTCCATTCAGTGTTTATGGCATTGCCAGTTCTTTTCACTGGGCATAATGATCAGTCTAGCTGTGCTTTCTGCAGCCAGATCTGCTCCTAACTCTCAAACATAAATAAACAGAAGCTGAGATATCTCCAAAAGTAAAATTTTGCTGAGAATACTTATGGAGAGAAAGATCAAAGTAACTCTCAAAACCTGGGAACCTCAATGCCAAATGGGTGCATGTATGTTTTCACTCTTCAAATGTTCAGAAATTATAAATCCAATGGGCCTCTCAAAAGCATCCAGTGGGACTAAACACATTGTTATTTAAAGTATTTGCTGATCATTCTGTTTATGCAATGATGGTGGCCCAAACCCAATGCTCTCCTGCCCCTGGGGCTCAGGAGACAGTCTTTGCTCTACATGTTTCATTAGGCAGACTGAACATACTTCACTCACCTCCCATTTCCCTGAAAAGATTTCTTTCTTTCCAAACCAACCCTAAAGCTTCTCACTGTACCATCTGAGACAGAAAAGGAATTTTTTTTTTCCTACCTCCTTGCAGGTTTGGTGTATTTATTTTTCATTCCTCAGCCCCTCACTACACTGCCAAATGCTCCTGGTCAGGAGAATGGGCTGGCTGCTGTGGCAGCTGGAGGTCACTCTGCCTTCAAAAGGTCTCCACTTTATCTTTGGAGCATCACTTATGAATTTCAAAGGACTTTTTTTTGCAGAATTTAATCATCTAGTTCACATAAGCTGTTTTAAAAGGGGCTGAGATTGGTTTATAAAGACAGAAGACAGAGGAACTCCTGTTGGAAAGCATATGGGTTCTAAGGCCTGGCTAAAAGTTCTGGGGTTATTTAGTAAATTGTCTTTGTCCTGTAATTTATTTTGCCTTGTGATTTGGTAACTTTGGTCCTCATAAAAGGAACCTAGCTGGTTCACTATCTGAACTGCCCCTAGTGAGTCACTGCTAGTTTACATCTCAATTCTCAGCAGAAATTCTACCCTAGGAGTAGAGCATAGGGAAATAATTACTGGGAAGCAGCAAATAAATGACTGTAACTATCAGGTTCACTTTTCCAAGATCCATCAGAATATTTCAGGTTGTCTGCTTCATTTTTGACTCATTATTTCTTGCTGCTATTTGTAAATGCTCCGTGTTAAATACCTCATCCAGCTCTGAGTTCCCTACAAAGGCATTTTCTAATATCAGCAATTAGTCTGGGCAGCAGTTTCGCTCTGGGCACTGCAGGTGCATCCTGTCCCTGTTTTCAGGCACTTGGCATATGAACAAAACCACTCTGTGGGCTCTAATTTCCAACAGCACACCCCAGACCCACTCCTCTGTGTCGAAGGCAGGGACACGTGATACTGTGCAATGTGACAAATCTAACAAGGATGGAGACAGCCACAGAAGTAGAAGAGAAGGTTAATATGCAAAAAATAAAAGCCAACATACGGGTAGTCCGTCGTACTGAAGAGGAAAGAGAAGCTGAGAGGGAGAGGGAGTTCTCCTCTCTGTCTCGGTCTCCTGACACACCTCGCCGAGGAGGAAGGATAGAGGAAGGCCTTGGCAGAGACGAACGCTTCTCAGGGCTCTTGCTCACTCCATCCTAACAGCAGCACAACAAAAAAGGAAGGTTTAGTTTTCAAAACTCACTCTTTGGGCTGTGATTTCCTGTATTAGGGGGAAAGCTAATCCTATGGGCCCAGTTTGCTCCTCACGCAGGAACCTGCGGGGATCACACTCCATGCTCTGCTTTAGCTCCCTGGTGCTCCTCTACTGCATCAAAACATCCTCTGATGACTATCCCGAGACATCTAGGGATATTCTTGGATCTAAATATGGATGCATCCCACAGTTGGCTCTTACTAAGGAAAAAAAGTGGGGTTTTTAAGTGCAAATTGAAAGTAAAAACTCTCTAGAGCTCAAATGTTAAATTCCTATGTGAATTTACCTGCAAAGTAACTAAACTACGGGTGTCCAGAATACACCATACACTGGATTGATAGGTGTCGTGTGATTTTTGCATATTTAAACACTAACTTGTAAACTTCTTATGGAGATAAATTTTTAGCTACAGGTTTTGTTGGTTTTTCTGGTTTGTTTTTTTTTTTTTTTTCCCTGAGTGTGGGATCATAAATCCTATTGGTTTAATTCCTTCTCTAATAAAATGTTTACTTTTTGAAATCAGTGCATACCTTCTGCTCACCAAAAGTAAACCCCTCTTTACCATTAAGGCAATGGACTTGTATGTTAGAATATTTTTGAGCTCATGAGATGTGCAGCCAAAGACAGACCAACATAAGCAGACATTCTTCCTGAAGACAAATGATGATGGTCCCAACCAGTAAAAGACACTCCAAGTACAGCATTAAACAAAAAATGTAAGTCTATGGCAAAAACAATTTCTAAATGGGGATAGTTAACTCCCCATAATGTATATTTGAAACACAAGTTAAATGTAAACATGGAGAGGCTGGAATGGACTGCCAATCACCTTTTTAAATTTATACTGCAACTTCTTCACAAAGTCCTATGCATTGACTAAATTTGGTTCCTTGAGATTTGGATTCTGCCCTATTCTATCACCTCCTGCTAGTAATTAGAACTGTACCCTCCTCTCCTATGCTGGAAACTGAATTTGATTTTGAAGAATATTAACAGGTCAAAAATTACATTTTTTTAAACTTGGATGACAAATTAGTACTGCTGTTCTTTACCACCTACCCACTTTTAAATGGCTGTAACTTCTTGGCAGTTAATGAAGTAGCATCCATATGATCAACATAAAGAAGATATGTCTTTCTAGTTACAACTTCACTTACGTTTCCTTTGGAGTATCTCCATTTTTATCCATCTTGTAGCCTGCTAATCAGTTTTCCTGCCACTGGATGTAAGTTATCCCACAGGAGCTTCGCAGAGAATTACTCAAATTCAGTGGGGTAGATAATGTGTTTCATGGAGTTCACCTGTGCATCTCTGACTCTCTTCACCAACTCTGCTACCTTACCTTAGCATCTGATTTTGAGTCTCTTGGGCCTGCAGAGGAGGGCCGAACAAAATAACTGTCTGTATCCAGACATGTGGCCCTTTTAGTGGTTAATGAGCAAGCTGAGCTGGGTCTTGGAGGAAGCAATGACTTTGCTCTAGACTTTGAGGCAGGAATCTTTGACAAAGAGGCAGTCTAGTCATGAGAAAACAAACAAAACACAACATGAAGCTGGACAAAATGAAAACACATGCAACATGGACCAAAAAAAAAAAAAAAAAAAAAAAAAAAAGCCAAGCTATGAAAAATACTTTTCCTGTGTCTGGTAATGGTCTATGCAGATGTGACAATCATGGAAGTTTCAGTTTGTTTTGTTTGACTGAAACCACCTTGGTCTGGACAGAGTTACAGAGTCTAGGAATTTGCCTTTTTCTGCAGATGCTATTTTGGTCTTGTGTTATAAGGAAAAAACTGGTGCCAGGTGTGGCATTTAACTGGTACAACTCCTGCATTAGAAACAAGTGCAAAGCTACAGGAGCACCAAGAGATCCCAGCCCTTGAAAGTTGAAATATATCCCTCCAGGCTAAAATCAAGAATAAAACAGTGGGAATCTTAGAAGCAGAGTTACACCAGTATTCCCACAACAGCAGGAGGACAACAGTAATTCCTCATTTTGCCACTGTGTACAGACAAAATTTTTAAAACACCCCAGATACTGCTCTGCGCATTTGGTGTCACTCCATAGAAATTCATAAATTTATATTGGCAGTATGGAGTCCTGGGTGAGGAAAGCCATATATGCCTGAAAGGCTGACACAGTATGTTATTATGAACAAATACTTGTTTGATACCAAATAATGACAATATCCCATTGAAAGAACAATTAAACACCAACAGGATGGACAGAAAATATTTGTTAATACTTAGAAGCATCTTACTGCTTTACAAAAAGGGATCTCCTTGAAACAAAATAGGGCTACTTGCTTAAGAAATACCTTTTTTCTACCATAGGTATAACTGATATTAGAAAGAGCAATTGCAAAGGTGTTACCTTAGTAGTCCTGATCCTCTCTGTAGTCATACTAGCATGAAATTAGTCATATGAACAATCCAAATGGGCCTGTCATCCTGGGATTTGCAGGCATTTGAACTTGGTATTTGATCTCAATCTCTAGACTTTCCCAATGTTCAGAAAAGGTACATGAACTGCTTTAAAGTTGTCTTGCTAGAAAATGAGAAAAGAATGTGCTGTCCAGCTCTGACAGGCCTCTGGCTTGGGCCATATACTCAGCTGAGGCTGGTGTGCTGAACGCCATCCATGACACCACCCATGTGATTGAGAGTTGGAGAACTCTGTATCAAGCAATTCCATTTGGATGTTCCATCCAATTGGATGTCATCCTCCAGACCAAGTAGCAAGACAAGAAATTAGGATGGAAGTGCTAGCTTTACTAGCAAGAACATATTCCCATAATGAGTTTTGCAATGTATTTATGCCTCTTTCTTTTTTAATACTTATTGTACTGTCTAGGAACAAACAGAAGAAAACCAGTGAATAATTATTTTAAAGAGAAACTACAGAATATGTGTTTCTGTCAAATCAAAGGCTTGTCCAGACTTTCACTGGTTTTTCATAGTTTAGTTTATGGGTCTCATCCATTTGTGAAACTTTGGATTGCATTTAGACATCCATGAAGTTATTTATTGATGCTGAAACACTGTGGAAGCAGGGTATCTACGCTGGGTGGCTCCAAGAAGCAGACATTCTGCAAGCACCTTTCACCTGGCTTTCTAAACCAGAGATAGAACTAAGCACGCATTGCTTGAGGCCCAAATCTTCATTCTGTGGTTTTCAACATTTTCAACTTGCATGCAAGAAATTACCTCTATAATGAGACTGAAAAACTCTTGTAGATTAAAATTCTAGTCACAGTGCAAAGACTTTTCACTCACATTGCTCAGTGTCCCCTCGGAATACATGAATCTAACATGGATGCTAAAGATGGACAACACTGAGCTCTGTCAGTAGAACAGATGGGGAAAAGGCATGACCTTGAGCTACTGCACAGCTCTGGTTATCACAGTCTAGAGCTCCTACATGGTATTTAGGTAACAAGGAACTTTTTAACATCAGGAATAGCAGCAGAATCTGCCCAGAGCTGGTTGAGCAAGCAAAGAAACCCTGTCTCAATCCCTGCAGGAAAACTCTCCAGTCTCTGTTAGCAAGACCTCTGACCTCTGTTTTAATTTATGTTGCTGGAAGGGTCAGGTGTCTAGAGGACAAAGATCTATGGGACTCTCAGGGATTGCTAAAGTGGGGATGAAGAACCCTAATTTTATTTCAAGGTGTTCCTAACACATGGCACAGGTTTTCATCACCTCACTGTGAACTGCAGGTACACAGCTGCTTCCAGCAGATGGAACTGTTTCACTTTTCCTGAACTTGTCCTGTGTAAACTGCAGTCTGAACATGGGTAACAAAACTGACCAGGCTGGATGATCTAACATTACCAGTGGAGAGGAAAAGGCTGCATTTGAAGGACATAAAAGCTGAAAACCACGAAGAAACAAAACAACAAAAATAGGGAGAGATCTTTAGAAAAGCAGAGGCAGAAAAGAAGAGAAAATATCCAAGAGGAGTGTGACTGTGGCAACCAGAGAGGCAAGGCAACAGGGAGAGAAAGTAAGCAGGGGACAGCTTTCTGATCTGTGCTGTAACATAAGGGGCAGGAATAGGAAAGGTATACAGAAAGATAATTTCACAGAATGATTTTTAAATGCTTGTACTAGAGCACTCCATAAACACTGAAAATGGGCAGATATTGGCTTCTCTTGTGCAAGTGTTGATGGTCTGTCAGGAAAAGACAGTAATAAAGCACGCTCAGACTCAGCCCATAAACCTGCCCAGATCTTAGTCACTTGTAAAGAAGCTCTAAAAGCTTCCCAGTTCTGAGCTGGAATGGGTCAGACCTGAAAAAACATCGTTCCTCCAAAGCCTCCAAAAGGTTACACTGCTCTCAGCACTACCAGTTTCTTACAATTCATAAACAGTGTGTAGCACTTCATGTGACACAGCCTTTTGCTCCCCAAAGAATTGAGAGTCTGGTTTAACAAACAAAAAAAATCATCCATGGAATATATTAATAAATATATTAGGAAATTCTGAGAAATTCTAAGGAAGTTCTTAATTGTTTATGATGGGGGATGGCCCTGCTCCTCAGGGCCAGGAGCTGGACTCGATGATCCTGATGGGTCCCTCCCAACTCCAAATATTCTATGATTCTATGATAACAATGACAAAGTGTTGTGTTGCAGATGTGAATTAGCATGTGTCACTGCCATGGTAAAAGTAACTGCATAGGGGAGACTGAATGCAGGTTGGTTTCCTGGGGATTTTGGAGGGATGGGACAGAAACAGTGCAAGGTCAGCTAGGAGCAAGGACGTCCTTCCTTAAAAGAGCCAGACACAGGAAGCAGAAAGGGCTGTAGAGCAGCTGAAGGCAAGGCAAGGCAAGGTTGCAGTCTGACAGATTATAGCACAGACAGTGGCCCAGGAAGTGGCCATACTGAAAGCAGTAAATGTAAATTCTACTGGCCAGTAACTTCTACACAGGCATGGTCCCTGCAGAACCCTGGGCAGTGGAATGGGTCACCAGGAGATACCCAGCAGTCCTGGGGGAGGGCTTCTGCCTTCTGTGTTTTTGTAACCCACAGCAGTGCAGCAAGGTGACAATGCAAGTTGGGTGCTGCAGGAAGGGCCAAGAGATACAGCTTATCCCACAGAATGGCCTGGCTCAAAATGCTGCCCAGACTTCAAGTCCTGCAGTTTGGAGTCTGTGTGCCCTCTGTGGATCTGCAAACTGTCACCATCTACCATTTGAGACTAGACTTCTAAGATTATTCAGGAAAGGTGGTTTTAGTTATCCTTTTACATGAATAATGAATATGGCGAACAAATTTTAAATGGAACACACAATTACTTACTGAATTAAGACAAATAGATGTGACATAAGGGCAAAAGATTATAAAGATGAACAATAAGATTAATTTACTCACTGAGAGTTTTTCCTTTGCTTGTTTAAATACAGCAGGAGCCTGGTTTGTTTCACCACCTGCTGCTGAGAAATCCAAAGAAAGACTTGACAGTTAAAGACAGTAATAACAAGCATTTCCATTCAGTACAATTGTTAGACCAATTAAATGCCTTGAAACTACTGTGCAAAGCAAGTACTTTGTGAATTACCCTCAGTGAACTGTATATAGACATTTACTTGCCTCAAAAATTTTTGCATTCATCTTATTTGAGGTAAAATGGTATTCTATGCATTTTGAACAAAATGAAATTTTGTATTCATTTCCTTAAAGTCTATAAACAAAAAGAAAAAAGTTCCAGAAATATCTGACAAATATAAGAGTTTCTGGTCAATCCTCAGACAACTTAGCATTCTGATTTTCAGGACTGTCATCTAAAAATCAAGCTCCTTTAAATCATCATCTTAAATTAAAATTTTAAGAGAGGCCTCTACAGTCACCACTTTCAAAATATTAGCCAACATTCATAATGGAAAGAGAGAGATTTACTGTTGAATTTTCATCCTAGTTGTGTCAACAAGGTCAGTGTGTCATGGTCAACCAAGCTCTCAAGAATTTAGAAATTCAAGGTTTATCTGGGACATCAAGAATGTTGATGCAGTATTTCATTTATCTGATACATGGTTTGAGGTAAGATGTTTCTCTTGGACTTCAAATCCATCCACACTGGTTTTTGAATGGGGCAGCTTTTTGGAAAGCAGGTTGTTAGCTTCACTCCAAGGCTGCTGCTTAGGAAGTGATGTGCAACCTAATAACTCACATGAGATCTTCTGGCACCTGTGCCAGGATGCCCTTGGTAAAAGCAGAATTAGGGTAACAATCACAAATGACAACCTTCTGCTATAAACCCAGCTGTTTTCCAACTTCAAACCAGCCCTAATTCCTCATGCAGGATAGGTCAGGTTAATTTTTCCCTTTTCTAATGCAGCTCCCAGGCGTGGTGAGGCTATCCCTGGTTCTCTGTCACACTACCCACTCTAGTCCAAGGTGTAGGAGGGAGAACTTGTGAGGAGGAAAAGAATATGTAGCTGCATACTTCAGTTCTTCTGAATTTTTAAGAGGTAAGTACAGCGGAGCCTTCCCGTGTCACACTTTACCACAGCTGTTACTGCTGGTTTGGGTCTGGTTTCCATCTCTTCTAGATAACCACAAACAGCTTCTTTCCTCCTTTTTACTGGATTCAACCCTAACCAGTCACCACTATGAGCTGGGAAAAAAAGCTGTGTCACTTGTGCCAACTTCTCCATCTGAAGACAAGATTTCTACAGGCCCTACAAACATGTTCCATCTCAGGGGCAACCCCAGAACCGAAAACAAGAAACAGACGCATATCATGGCCAGGTCATTGTCCTGGCCTTGCCTCCAAAAAAAACCACTCTGGTAACACACCTGCAGTAGCATCTCACAGCCACCAACAAAACACAGGCCAGTTTGGGGGTTTCACTCATGGAGCTACACCAGCCAAGGCAAAGACTTCCCAACTCTCTCGCCAGGGCTGGCCATGCAATTTTCTTTTTCAAATGGCAAGGACAAGCCTCTCAAAAAACAGTCCCTGCCTCGTGGATATGGTGCTGTAAATTACTGGTACTTCCCAGTGCTTACCAGCGATGTGGGAATTTTTTTTTCAGTTATTGAGGGGCATTAAGGGAAAAATGTACTTTTCTGGGCCGTTGTGCAAAACATAAAAGCAGATATTAACTTCTTTCGGTAGATATCTGTATCTTATGACTGACTGGACGCGTTTCATTTTGAAGTCACGTGGAGATTTTAGCTAACTGCAACATATTCTGTAGAAAGCAACAAATCTCTGTAGACTACACTGCCAAGTACTTTTGGGGGGCTTCATTACCCAGGCATCACTAAAGCTGACAAGACCACTCCAAATAGGATGCACTGACAGTCAAAACTGGCTTCAAGAAATAGTGCTATATTTCCCATGAAAAGAAAATGGGAGAGAGACAATGTTCCTCTAGATTTCAGATCCTGGAGAGACCTGGATGACATAATCAAGCTCAGGGATATGTAAGATAACATATGATCACCTGCACTCTCAGAATGTCACACAGCATTGCAGTCTTTCTCAGGGTCTCCCCCCAGGTCCAATCAGGAAGTATAAAAAAGGGAGGTAGAAGCAAATAAAGCATTCTGTAATTTTCCCAGCAACAACGAGTGTGCTGAAACATTCTAAGAAATATTTTTGATCACCTTCTAGCATGGCTTCAGCTCCTCTGCTTTAGAGCTCAAAGTTCAAGCCACATTTCTGAAAGTTTTATGATCTGGGTGCCATCATTTTGGTAGCTCTCCACCTCAGGACTTAAATAAGGGAGGACTTAAGTAAGGGAGGTAGTTTTTGTATTGTATTTCTCACTCTGACTAATACATCTGCTTCACTGTGCCTTGCAGTGAGAGAGAAAAACCTCTGAGATTTGCAGCACACGTTTCAGGCACAGGGCAGATTTTATGTAAGTCCATTGGTATCAGTTCTCTTTGGGATCCTACAGGTCAGAACAGTTCAGAGGAGGTAGTGGTAGATACCTGAGGGCATGACAGCACTGACCACACAGCTGCAGAAGTGTAATAGAAGTTGGGAACACTACAAAGCCAGTGCCTTTCTCCCACCCATGTCCACAGCTTATTGAACCTCCTGGGGCTTTTGAAGGAACATGAGAATTATGGGTTGTAACTTCTGAGCTATCAAGATGTGCTTCAGCAAGCAGCAAGAGACAGCAAGGAGAAATGTTTTAACTCCGTTTTAAAATTCCTCCCTCTTGGGTAGTTCTGGTTCAGAGTGCAAGTTAGGACAGCCCAGAGACTGCAAACTGAGGAGGAGCCATCAGTGCAACACAGAGAGGACTGAACCAGCCTTTCCTTTTCTGGTTCCATTTCTCCTGAGAGGGGGAAGTAGAAGGATGAGATTCTGTCACAGGAGTAAGGCAGTGGGATCATTAGTTCCCAATGGAACACAGCCAGGATACAGTGCACACTTCATACAGCAGAGGCATGATACCAAACCTGCCCTAAACCATCCTCTTACTGCATTTTCCCTGCTCAGACCTCCCTGCTGGGGCTGGTCTGCATTCACAACAGGAGGGCCTGGTGCAAAACTGAAGGGGAATGACAGCCTGGGGACACTTTTAGTATTGCTCTGCTTAACCACATGATGGATAATGAATCTTCCTGATGATTTCTAAGCTGTCAGAAGATGCCTGTGCACTTCTGCATTGTTGTGCATGGTTCTTCTCTTATTAGCCCGAGTTCCAAACAACGCTACAGCGTGTGGCTACATTACACGATAGAAAACCTGGCTTCTTCTAGCAATTTTTAAGATCACAATGAAAGTAAAGATGTTCATCCTTCCACTTTGAACTCACAGGAACCATGAATATTATGCAAAAATGTTGGAAGAGTTATTTTGGTCCTCTAAATAATGATACGCCTATGAAGTCATAACAGGAATCATTTCTTTCTTCCTTTCATCTTCCTCTACCAAATATTAAGATTTTTGCTCGGAACGCATTTCGCAGTGTGAGCCCAGATTTCTTCTCTCTCAGCTCCATGCTGCATGTGGCTGGATTCTCCCTGTGGATTTTGACTGTACAGCATAAACATCAGTGACAGATTGGGAATTGTCAATGCAGATAACATCAATAAACAAAATATACGTCTGAAACACTTCTTATTATGCATGAGAGTAAAAAAGCAGAATAATGGAAATGCATACCATGGTGTAAGTTGCCAACATTTTCCCACCATTAAAAAAAAAAAAGGCATAATTAAAAAAAAATTTAAAAATAAACAGAAAAAGATGAGTAGAGATTCCTAGAACATCACACTCTAAGCACGATGCCAAGTTACAATCACAGCACTTGGAGGCCCAAGCAATGACAAGCAAACATGATCATGGCCTCCATCAACAAGCAAATAAATACCGGGAAAGAAAAAGAGAAAGAATAAAAGAAAAATGGTACAAAACACTAAAAAAGCAATACTATTTGTGAAGATTGATACTCTTGGAAGAAAAAAAAAAATAGAGAAGCTGCTAGAGCTATGAGATTTACAAAAGAAAATGTCTATGTTTGCCAGCCACATTGCATAACTGAACAGAACGCAGTCACCTGTCTGCTTCCGTTTAACACAGGAGAGATGAGTTGGTCTAGTATATTTGATAGCAGGTTTTAAAATTATTTTCCTGGAGGGAGAGTGGCCCTGAACTTCAGTTTTTTTAGCAAGTTCAGCTTTCTTATACACTGCTATGGACAAAAAGAACACAAAAACATAGAATCAGGAAAAAACCCAGCAAACCATTTCATATGATCAATATGTCAAGTGTCTGGCCCACTGCCCCACAACTCCAACCCAATGCATTGCTTCTTCAGAGGGGTACAAATCCCATGCTGGAAGAGGGGCATTGGCTCAGATGCATTACCCAGTACTCAAAGGGGATGTCCACAATGAAATAGGACCAGGGGAGCAGTGAGCCTTGGACATGGCTTCTCACATGATTGTACAGTATCTCATTAAAAAATACTACCATTAATAATGTCATGGTACACATAATCTACAACAGAGTAACCAGATAGTACTGTAAAATAGTAAGAAAATAAAAAAAAATTGTAATAGGAGTGTGAAATGAACCTTTTTTCCTTCTCACTTCATCTCTGGAGAGTGTGCTAGGTTCCTTTTTAGCTATTTTCCTTTCAGGAGTAGAAATCCTGCCTCTCCCAGTTTTAAAAGGTTTCTCTTTTTTATGCTTATCAAGAGATGGTCTTCGCAATTCTCTCTCTGCTTTCTCCTCTTTAGGAACAGTCTCTAACTGTTCAGTCATGATGCTCCTATCATCATCTGTAGGATCAGAGCAAATTACAACAACAAACAAAAGATTAGTAACAAATGTTAACAATACTTCAGAGGAGCAGGGAAAAATAGTTGAAGACAGAGCAGATGATTAACTTTTAAAAAGCAAACTATTTTTGCCATTTTTCTGAAACATGCTGAGATTACTAATATAACTGTAATAATTTTGCTTTTCAATCATTATGATTTGGAAGCAAAAATATTCAACAGACAAAACAGAAAGGATAATGCACACCTTGAGTGTCTGCCCAGAGACTGTCTGTGTCCATGATGGAGTCATCAATTGTTGTTTCATCTTTGTAATCATCACACGTCTCTGTTTTGTAGTTAGTGAGCAGGATTTCTTCTCTCTGGGGTGAAGCAGGAGCTTCTCGGGAGCCTTCCTTGGGCTCAACTTCCACTTCTTCAACATCCAGCTCCTCCTCAGCCTGGGAGTCTCCTGTTTCAATGTCTTCCTGCTGAGTAGCAGCAAAGCGCACGCTGTGAGAAGCAGATTCACCCTCATCAACTGTTGTCTGCACCACTGTGATAAAGTCATCCTCCACTGTCACCACTGATTCAATAATGCCTTTCAGCTCAGGCAGGGCTTCTGGGCTACCCTTGGCTCCCATCTCTTCTGCAGCAGGCTCGCCAAAGTCTGGGGGCACTTCTGATACAAGATGCTGTTTATCCTCTTCTTTTGCTTCTTGCCCTGCTTCCACCTCTTCTTCCTCATATTCTTCCCCTTTCGGGGCCCCAGCTGCCACTTCACATGGCAGCAGCTTTTGGGTTTCCGTAGGTTTCACAGCTCTATCAAGAGTCTCTTCAGCTCCTTCTACAAGTTGTGGTATGCTCTCCATCTGAATCTCAGCAGGCTCCTCCCGGAGAGGCTCAGCTTTTGGAAAGAGGAGCTCCACAGACGTCCCCTTAGCTGGTAACTGTGTAGGCATCTCTTCCCCAGACATGGGAGGTTTTGGATGTTCTGCTTTGATATCCTCTGGTTTCACGGACTCTCCATTCAAACTTTCTTGGGCTTGATCATGCTCTCCACTAGATTCATAAGATTCCTCCTTATCAACTGCCTCTTGATGTACCAGATCTGGCTTAGTTACTTTTTCCTTAATTTCTGTTTCTGACAGTTTGGTGCTGTCCTTCATATAACTAGGCTCAGTCTTGGAAAGTACATCTGCATCCTTTGCTTCTCTGGAGAAGATGGTCTCCTCTTTCTGCTGAGTGTCTTTGGGTTCAGGCTCTGCTCTTTTAAGAAAGCCTTTGTCCTGCCCTAAAGGAAGGGAAACAACCTCGCTGATCTTAGTGTCTAACTTACTCTGATATTCCTGGTCAGCTCTCCTTGCAGCTACCTCCATATCGTGCTTAATAGCATTGTAATCTGGTTTAACTGGAGCTTCTACCTCAGCTATATCAGCTATCTCAGCTATTTCAGGAACAACACTAAGAGTCTTCTCCTTCTCCAACAACAAACAAATAGAATCCTTTTCTATTGCTATCTCTGAAGCAGAAATTCTGTCATACATGGTATCAGCAGGTAAATGAACTTTACTAGCCACACTTTCTTCTTTCCTTTCTAACATTGCCTCAGCTCTTGTCTTCTCTGGTTCTGCTCCTTTAATGGGACAGACCTCTTTAGAGTCAACTTGATCTTCACTTTTTTCTAGCACAGTATCTAGTTTCTCTCTTTTCTCCTCTTCAAAGTCCCTCACCAGAGTGGACTCACCATGCTGACCTAAATCTCTTTCACTGAGGAAGTCTTCTTTTGATTTTTCAGCAGCTGCCAGCTTCACTTCTATTAAAGACAAGTCAGGAGCGAGGCCACGTCTCAGTTTTTCATCTGTGCCTTCGTAGAAGGGACAGGTTTCACTTGTTAAATTCTCACTGTCCTGAACCGGAGAAGGGAGTGGTACTGTGTACTTATTGAAAACACAGTAGCCCAAGTCTTCCAGCTGACTTTCAGCTTTCAGAATTACATGGTTTTCATTTGTCACAGGTGGCAGAGCTGTGCTGCTGTCTTCCACAACAGTGTCAGAAGGAACTGGCTTCTTCTGCGCCACCTCAGCATCGGCACTCACAGAAGCTAATCTAGATCTTGTCCCTGCCAAGTCTAACATTTCAGGCAGGTCAGGAGCAAGGACAGCCCCATTTTTGTAGTAATCTTTGGCCTGGAAAGATGGTTCAGCCAAGGTCTCAGGCTGGACCTTTTCTTCTACCATCACTTTTTCTTCTTCTATGTGCTCATCTTCCTCTCTACTTTCAATGGGGAAGCAGGGGGCCTTCTCCAATGCTGGTGTGGTAGCTGGCAAGTAGTCATCACCTTCATCCATACTTCCACTAGTGTTAGTTAGAATATCTGAAGCGAGGGGAGAAAGATCATGTGCACGACCAAAACTAAATCCTAGGGCTATTGAATCCAGACAGGACATGGGCAAGTTAATAGACATACTTCTCTGTTCAATTGCAGATCTGCCCCCAAGTCCCAAGCTCCTGCTCAGAGTTAGGTCATCTTTATTTTTACTGTGAAGTTCTCTCTTATCCCCGTAGACTTTGGGGTCAATAGTGAACATCCTTTCTGTTGGAGAACTGGGCTCTTCAGATGTGTCTGGTGTATAGCTCTGAGCCAGGGTACTGTACCCCATTTCACGAGCATGCACATTTGGCTGCTGACTCAATTCTGTCCGTAATTCTTCCTCTTCCTCCTCCTCTTCATCTTCAGGTATTAGAGGACCTCTCTGATAAGGCTCATATTTACTCTCTTTAGTGTCACTCAGCTCATAGTAATCACTGCTTTGTTTCAGACCATCTGCTTTGAAGGCCTCCTCTTTCAGAGCAGAGGTTTCAAAATACTTCGACATTCCTGACTGATCCTCCTCTTCCTTCATTTGATGAGGAGCTGAAACACTTGTCTTATCCTCCTCAGTATCTTTTTTAACATCTTTCTCTCGAGAAGCTTCTAGAGTAGGAGTCTTCTCCGTGGTTAAACCTGGTGCCTCAGGGGCTTTCTCTGTTATTCTGGATAACTGAGCAGTATCAGGGTACTCTGCTGTTTTCTCAAGGGTCAGTTCATGGCTTAACTTAGCAGGGGGTACCTGTGTGCTTTGCTGCGCCTCCTTTTTCACATCTGCTGCTGCTGAAAGCCCACTTTGGTCTGTTTCTTTTTCTGCTTTGAGAGTATCAGGTGACTTTTTAGCTTCACCATCCTTTTGAAGGTCTGTTTTGTCTGGGGAAGATGTCTTAACTTCTGATTTTGTGGTAATTTTACCACCATCTAATATTCGAGCCTCCCCTTTATCAAAGAAGTCATACCTTTCTTCCTCATCACTCTCATCCTTAGTCATGTCCTTTTCCTCTCCCCATGGAGGGATTTTTGGCGTGCTTGGAGTCTTCAATCCATCTACAGTTACTGCTGAGACTTCTTGGAGAGATAATGTCCTGTCTCTGTGGATCTGTTCATCCTTACTGAAATCTTTGGCAAACAGTTGGTCAGTAGGTTCCTGATGTGTTTTGAAACTGTCTTTGAGTGAAAGCTCCTGGGGGAGAGCAGGAGATGGGCCTGAAGGAAGTTCACTTTTGGCTACTTCTGCCTTGGGTTCTGGTGGCAATAGAGAACTTTCACCATGGCTGATGGCACCACCTTGGATATCTTTGAGGTTGTCTTGAAATTTCATAGCCATAACTTGGCTGGTTGATGAGGGCACACCTGCAGTCCTTTCTTCCACCCTGCTCTCTTCAGGCAGCAGAGATGGTAAGTGCTCTTGTTCTTGAGGAGCAGGAGGCTTAGCAGCAGGTTCTGCAAAACTGGCTTCCCCTTTCTTCTGTGAATCAGTTTTCAAGATCCATTCTGATGGAGGTGAAAGCATTTTTTCTTTGTCTTTGCTTTCTGACTCCTTTTTATCTGCAGGCTCTGCTTTTGCTGACTGTGGAACTAAGGCATCATATTTAGGTTGCTCAACAGTCTTATTGTCCTTCCCAGATTCACGTTGCTTTGTGTCTAATGGTTCTGCTGCAAAAGGGCATGTGCCCTCCTGGACACGGAATTCCATCTTCGTGGCTGCAAGTAAATCTGAAGTAATTTGTTTGGGTTTTATAGCAAAATTATTTCAAGCACTTACAGGCAGGCAGTCATGTGGCCTACAACATTTTAATATGAATGATGGAATGGAAAGGGAGAAAGATGTGAGCATGCAGCAAGGCATCCACCTAGAAACTTGCTTTGAAGTGTTAAATACTAGTTTCCTTTCAATATATAAGGTTTTATAAGGAAAATGTGAGTTGTACACGTATAAATGTAAGCACTGAAATGAGATGATTTAATGTAAATTCTTTGTCTTCGTGATTTGTATACAACAGCTAAATCACAACAAATAACCTCACTTAATTAGAAGCTTTGCTGGACTCTGTAGCTTATGTTAGTTTTGTGTTCATGAAGTCTGCAACTTCAAAGGAATCACTAGTACCTTTGTGTGTTTCTGATATTTAAAACATACAGTTATACATTCCAATGTATTTTTATGCATTTTTGTTCTACATGCAGCCTAAACTAGAGATGATGCTTGCGAAGGGTTTTGGAAGACTCAGAAGAGGCTGGTTTTTTTAACTGTATCAACTTACTACACTCGCTCTTTGTCAAATACCAAAATCTCACTGCTGTCACCAAACCAGCATGTGGAAATCAGCAACAGACCTACTAATACCCCCAGATCTTGAAGGTCTGGTCTTCAAAATGGCCAGTCACCTACAGCTGTAGCTGAAGTCAAGGAATACTTGGCATGCTTCCGTGACTCTAGATCAGGAGCTAATTAAGTTAAATTGAAACTAAAAAGGCTTCTCTTATACTCTGCCACTTTATTTTCAGAGGGTCATACCTAGTAAAGTTTTTTTTTAATACCCACTCGGTTAATCATTAATAGCTTGATCTTTTTTTTAATGTCCTGCAGAAGGTAATGATTCCTATCTCCTTGACATCTTCCTATAATGGGAAATATGAAGAGAAAGACTGCAGAATTAGGCATATCTTTCTGCACTAATCTGTAAAATAGGTTTTATGAGTTTTTTCTAAAGCTTGTTACAACTAGCACTGGGCCAACTCTGAATTTCTTCAGATCTGAAGTCCATAAAGCCATCTTTTTGCTCTGATGAATCTGACTGGTTTTAGAACAATTAGTATCGAAGTATTGCTCATTATTTAAATATCTGCATATGTTAATACTGAGTCAAAAAAGCAACTGAGATTCTAAACTCTACAGGTAACCAAACTACAAATCTACACCTACAGTGATTTTGCTCCTTTGTATTTTTACATTTGGTGACTGACTTGCAAGCCCCATGAAGTGTAAAGCATGGCCACTGGGCTGATGACATCCTTGTTTCACAGAAATGAAATACCTAGATACTGCTTTTCTCCATGTATCCTACTGTGTCTCTTACTGTAGTGCACACAAACAATACCAATGGCATCAGGGCATATTCTGACTGCCAAAGGAATCCAGTGCTCTTCAGCTGGGCCATGCAGAACACAAGCCTCCTAAAGGCAGCATTCCTTAGCCAGGTAGGGAGTGGGTACATCACTACTCCACACCAGGGGTCTTTGCACCTTGTTCCACTGCCTGAAGAGAAATACCATTGAAAGAAAAATACTGAAGCCTAGTTCTTATGTACTGAAGGATGACTGCAGTAAATACTTTGTTCAGAGATTAAGTCTAAACTTCACTCAATGCACCCAGTCCTAGCCTTCACTTTGAAGGCAAATGTCCCAGTGGAAGTGATGGAGATTTTGCCAAAGAAGGGCACTCCAGCAGGGTTAAACACTTGTAATAAGGTGGCACACGCAAAAAATAAGAGTTCTGGCAATGACTCAAGAGAGGAGGGGCAGATTGCAATGGATGAGAAGGGTGTGACATAAGAAGCAATAGCTTTAAGGAAGCTAAACCAGAATGCACTGAAGCACACACAAAAGAACCAAACCAACCAAACAAAAATCCTGCACACTGCAAATGAAAACATTTCTACAGTTTAAGTGTCTTTATGACATAGTCAAAGGCGGCAAATCTGCTGTTTGAAAGAAATGCAGATGAACCTCTGCACCAAAAAGAAAAAAAATACATAGATTAGCAATGTGACTGGCAAACACATCTGAGATGGGGGAAAAGGGCTTACACAGAGGAATAAGCTTAGCTGCAAAGCAATATTTTATCATGGCAAAGTAAAAAACTCAGGAATCAGCCGCAGCGGTGGGAAACCATGTTGTCATACAGCACCTACACAATCAAATTATCCACTACACACTCTTCAAGCATAATAACAAGAGCAGTCATACTAATAAATGGGAAAAACAGAAAATGAAGCAGGCTTGGAAAGCACTGGAGAAAGCCGGAGAAGGACTTGCTGGCAGCAAACACATGCAAACCTAAGGAGGAAACACCTTCCTCAGCCAAGGAAGGGGGTGTGTCTTTCAGCACAAAGGTCACACCCTCCCTGCTGGATGCCACGTTTGGCACTTTTTCTTCATGACACACTGAGAAACAGAATCTGACTGACCCTCACAGAGGGCCTTTGACTGGTCCAAAGGTTTAATGGGCCTGTGCTCTTTCCCCACTTGCTTCCCAGGAAGAGCAGCAGGTTGCACTTCCACAGCCATCACACTCTTTACTGGTTCTTCTTCTTGGGGATGGAAAAAACAGGTGACATCACCACCAACAGTAAACACCAAGCACACAGCTGAGCAGGATTGCTTTTACATGACCCTTTCAGGACTGCACTTACACAACCTTTTCAGCTCAATATTTTCAATGTAAGTCTGTAAAGGACTGCCAGTACCCAGTTCATTTTAGCCACCATGGAACTGAATTTTCGTTAGGGAAAAAACCAAACCAAAAGCCTGCCTCCCCCCAGACAAGCATGTTTATGTCACAAGATGAGAGCTGAAAGTGTTTTACAGTGTTTTATGAAAGTGTCATACCTCTCCCAAGGATGACAGTGGGTCAAATAGTCATTGGAAATGGAGATGGAATGGAATGATGGATGGCTCTGACAACACTAATGCATCAATGAGCTCAAAGTACGCTGATATTTTTCTAATAATGTGCCGTTTAGTCCAGTACACGACATTCAACTGAGGGAGAAAGGTATGAGGCATTGATTTCTTTCCACTGACCTTGGTAATACAGACTGCTGAATGCCAGCAAGTCAATCTACTGTATGAATTCTGGATTTGGCAAAATACTGAGAACTTTCATAGTCATAACAGGCCTCGTGCATGGCTAATGATTAATGGTTTTTGCAAGATTTCTGCCAAGTTTCCTACACTGAATGGGTTTATAAACAATTTCTCCTTGACACTGTCTGACATCTGAAATCTGTATGTGAAAAATCACTATTTTAACCTTAGGACTCTTTTTTTTTTTTTTTTTTTGCCGTTTCCCCACTTATTCCCAGGCTCCTCACCATCAATTATGTCAAAGAAACCAATGAATGCAATATAATTATTTGTTCATCCAAATTTCTAAAACATACCACTCAGCCTATAGGCTGTTAGGATCAGTATAGTAGAAGCAAGAACAATCTTTGCTTGTTCCATGACAGAAGGATTATTAGAAAAATCTCCATTCCAGGCTTGTATTCCTGTCACTGCTACTCAGACAAAAATTACTGTGCACTATTAGTATTCCCTCTGGTAAGAAGTCAGAATTAAGTGTGAATCCTTTGATTCAGCAACGTACTCAAGGAGGTGACCAGCACCCATGCTGCAGGCAACCTGATGACATCCCTGAGTTTAAACTGTGTCTCGTGATGAAGTACTTTGCTGAATCAGGCTTAGAACAAAGTGTTTTCAAATCTGGAAGTGTGTGTGTCCATCCTCTTGGAATTGCAAGGGCTTTGTTTTTCTCCTGAGATTGGTCCAGTGAAAACTAGACAATCAATCATCCGTTTCAGCTACAGCCTTAAAAGAGTGATTTAAGGAACATAAACACTAAGGCTGAGAAAATATCACTGTGTAAAGAAGAACACATTATTAATAACATAAAATAATTAAGGTTAGATACTGTATCTTAAATGAACAGAAGCCAGAAGATTCAGAATCAGACCCCGACCAATGCCTGAGAATTGCAGAAATATTTGCATGTGGGCAGATTGTAAAAGCAGCCTTGCAGGACAACAGGTCTCCAGCTACAAGAGACCCTGACCTGAATAACTTGCTTTAATTTTCTTTTTCTGATTTTATGTACTTTTTTGTGCATCCCTCTCAATCAAGAAATGTTAAGGAAAACCTTGTATTTTACTCTGAGGAATACTCCTTCATTTCCTGGAACACTTTACACAAAGCCACATGAATAAAAATAATTACTCAAACTAGAAAGTCATCCTTGAATTAACAAAAGAATCATATAGCCTCTCCTTGTGCAGCAGACTCTTATGCCACACAGACTGCTGGCCAGCAAGGACAGCTCTTTCACACAATAGTCTCAGCTGGAAGGGACCCAGAAGGATCATCAAGTCCAACTCTCAAGTGACTGACCTGTACAGGAATTGAATCTTGGCATTTTAGCACTGTGCTCTCACCAGCTGAGAATCTCAGAGTCTCATAATGCCTATCTTTCCACTCATGATCCAGCTTATCTGCCTTTTGTCTCCTTCACATAGATGTTCTGAGATCTTACACTTTCACCAGAGGCAGGTCATTTGACTGAAAAGGAAGCTGCCCATGAGTTAATAATCACACTGTTATGTACAGCTGTAGGCACACAGCTAAAGTAAATCTAGCCCTGTGATTTTTCTATCTTCCTGCCCTCCATTAGATATGCTGACATGAACAATTTTCAATTATTAGTGCTGATCTCTCACCCATGCTGTTAACAGTATTAGGCTGTTAATTCTGTATTTTTCCTGTTAATTCTGAACAACTCTGGTTTTCTTAAAATGAGCAGTGACCAGTTTCAGGGAGACAGCTCCAGCCTCCTGGGACACAAACCTTTAGAGGATCCAGTACTATTTTTAACTGCAGCTCCCAAGACTGAGTGCTGTGAACTGAAACATCAACTATTTCACCTTTGAGAAGTCAGCTGT